TTCATCCAGTCAAAGGTCTGCGCTGGAGAAGACGTCTCCGACGCAGGGGAGCGACAGGCTTCTTGGTGGCTGGCGTGGAGAGGGGACAAGGAGTTATTATACGTGGCCAGGGTCAGGCTCTGGTGCTCTTGTCCATATGAGTGGTGAATGTACTGAGGCGAGCCCACCGTGCCCCCAGCATAACCCTGGTGGTGGTGGTGATGCTGGACCATGGGAGATGAGAGATTTCCAGAGTAAACAGCGGAAGCGCACGGGGAGTACCCACCACTTACGTCTGCTTCCTGATTTAACCCATAGGGGCCGTAAGGCGCACCGAAGTTCTGCGCGCCGTAGCTTGGACCACAACCCGAGTGGGAGTAGGACACCCCCAGGTTCCCAGAAGTCTGGTAAGTGGCCGGCTGGGGGTGGTGGTGGTGGTGGTGGTGGTGGTGGTGATGGTGGTGTGGCGAGCTGATCTGCACACCCCTGCCCACAAGAAAGCGGTCGTCGCCGCTGCAGCTGTTGGCACTGACCGCACACGACTGGAAAGTTGTAATCCCATGATCGGAGGGGTAGGCTCGCGCTGAGCAGGTCCCCGAATCACCACTGCTAAGTATAGGGTATTCCAGGAAGGAGCTCATTCTTGCATTGTCCATCTGTCACTGAGCGACCGGGTCCTGCGAAGCCCTGGGTGATCGTGCCAACTTTCTCACTTCCTCCATGGGGCCGGAGAAGAAAAATGATATGAATGTACAGTGCGCACGAGGGGGGGCTAGAGGGCGGAGGGCTCTAGGGATGGGCACGTGATTTCGCCAGCCAATGGCTAAGCCTCCTGCTAAAGTTTGCTGGCTCTGGCGGTGATGGATCACCGTTTCAGTGGCATTTAAATCCCCGGCGCTCCTCTATCTAGGTGACGCGCAGCAGCCCCCCCAGGCAGCCCAGGCGGCGGCAGCAGCTGCAGCGGCTGCAACGACAGATTCCGAGCGCTGGGGCGAAGGGAGCAGAGGCTGCCTTCTGCGCGCTCCCGACTCCGCTCGCCCCCCTCCCCCCAAGAGGTGGGAGCTGGGAGGCATCCCCCGCCTCCGCCCCCTCCCCATCACGCTCAGAAAGATGAACTGGCAAGAGGTGAGAAGGGAAGAGGGCTCCTGGCTCCCCTGGGTGGGAATCCGTGGGCTAGAGCTCGCTGGGTGGCCGCAAGTACCTCGGCCCAGTCCCGAGAGCGCGGAGCAGGAAGGGTGGGAATCCAGTCGTAACCGCGCCCGAGTTCCAGGGTAATTCCACCGTACAATCTGGGCTGTGAGGCCGTGGGGCCGTAAAGAGCTCGAAGAACGCTGGAGGAGGGCGAGGCTAGGCCACTAGCTCTCCAAGCTCGGAATGGAGAAGGTAGTGTGCCAAGAACTGACTGCGGGGAACCCGGGTGGGAATGGAAGGTACGAGAGCAAGAAAAGAAACTTCCCTCCTCCAAGGAGGGTCTCCCCAGCCTTCTTTTCCAACCCCCGGTCATCATTAGCATGGCCATGAGGAGCCTAAGTAATTCGATCCCCAGGGACGACTGAGCCCTTGAAACCAAGCTTGCTGGAAAAGGCCGGGGTTGCTGGGCTCTTCTCTGCCCTCCCTCTTTCCTTGCTCTCCGCCCCTTTCTCCTCCCCACTCAGCTTTGCTAGGGGAGCCCTCTGAGATCCGAAGCAACTCCACTGCTGGAGTTTGAGGGGGTAGGAGAAGGGGGAGGGGGATGACGCTATCAAACGTGGCCAGCGTGGGGGCCGGGCCTTGAGCTGCAGGCCATCTGCTGGCTCTTAAGGACTTGGGAGCCTGCGTGCAATCTTTAGCGCTTGGAAGGCCGGAACGCAATTCCTACAAACATTCCGAACTTTCCCTGTTTCTTTTTCTGGAGGGGGATGTTAGGACTGCCTCCACTTTCCACCTCACCCCATCTACTGCACGTCTGGAGTGGAGGTCGGGGCTGGCAGGTGGGAGAGGCGGTGGACAGATGGCTGAGGGTGAATGGGACAGTTCCCTCTTCCCCAACATCTCCTCCCCTTTCCAACGGACTGTATAGTTGCTTGAGTGAACTTTCAAGTCTTTCCATAGAGAGATACGTGCGTCACCCCAGGCCAGGGGTCCTGGTCTCCCTCACCCTAGTCCTATATTGATGCTGCTGGGGTCGTTAATTGCTGTTTGCTATTAGGTTTCATGTCAACCTCGGGCTTGTGGAGAAAAAAGGCCAAGCAGAGACCGAGAACTGATGCATTCTTAAGCAGGAGAAGTCCAGAGATCATCTAAGAAGCTTTACAACCAAAGCTGCATAGATTTTACTTTGACATGTTTGTGACATTGGATCGGATAGATGAAATTAATAGTGAGGATTATAGGTGGGTTTGGGGTTCCCATGTCATCCTTTTCTACATTAAAAGAAAGGAAGTTTTTCTCTAGGCAGGCACATTTCAAATGTGTTAGTCATCCTTACATATATCTGTGTTCAGTTCTCATAAAGAAGTTCTCCAAAAACCTGTCCCCACAAGAGGGAAAATTTCTGTAGACCTTTTACTCTGAATTCTCTCAGTAGCAATGAAACATTTTCCCAAACATTTCCTTTTGGAAGGGTATTTTCCTATGACCTTTGACCCACCCCAAGCATGGAAAGAGGAAGAGCTCCGAAAGTTCCCCTACCCCAGTTTCAGCTCCTAGGGATCCTCATCCTGCAGAAGGGGATAGACAAGGGGACCCTCTTGGAGATAGCCTCCTTGGGATCGCCAGGGTTGGGGAAACAAGGGGGTCTTGTTGGGTAGGGGACAGGATGTAAGAGGGTCAGTGCTGGCAGTGAGGGAGATCCAGGCCCTCTGCCCGCTTGCCTCCTTCCTATACCTTCTTTGTGGGCTTCCTCCACTCTGGTTTGCAATATCCTCCCGGCCGGTTGTAGTTCGCCTGCACAAAGCCGCCTTCAGCCTCAGCCGCTGTCTTTTCTCTCCCTCCACCTCTCTTTCTCCTGGCCTGTTTTCAGGGGAACCTGCATGGGGTGTTTTCCTTTGGATCACAAATTCGCACTGCCACACAAGCCTGCATACATACAGGCCAACTGCCGTCCCACCTCTTCGCACTGCTCCAGCTCCCGCAGGCCGGCTCTGCCTCCGCTGGTCCCCCCCCCCCCCCCCCAGTGCCGCTCTCCTGGAGTGGCTCACAAAGGCAGCCTCCCGCGGCATCCAGCCCGTAGGCTAGGCTTCGGTAGCTCGGATCCTTCCCCAGCCTCCACACCACCACTACCCCACCCCCAGGAATCGTGGGAGCCATTCTGCTGTATAAGAGACCCTTGGTCCTCTGGGCATGTAGGCCAGTGACCCAGGACTCAGCTAAAGTCTCTTTAAATGCCTCAGGAGAGTGGGTGAAAGGCGAGCTTGGTTACGATTAAAATAATCGCCTGCAAGTATCTGCCTCTGCTCAAAACGCCTCTTTCGGGGCTCTTCTAGAAAGAGAAAGAGCGAGGAGGAGACAAAACGCCGCCGAGGCCCCGGAGCCGTTCATGGCATCCGCGGCTCAGCCAAGCTGTTGTTTTAAAAGAGCAATAAAAATGAATTATGACTGAACGCCTTCTAACTTAATGCTTTCGGACGGGGATCCCCGGCAAATACGTAAGAGGATTTTTATTTGTGCATGTGTTCCTGCAATTGATCTCTTTGATGACATTCTCATTCATAGAAAGCATTTGATTTATGAGCTTAGGACGAATCGCATCCAGGAGCGGCGCAGCCCTGGCCGCAGCCCGGACGCCCTGCTCGGCGCTAAGCCTGAGCCTAGGTCCGGAAGCCCGCCACAAACGCCACAGGCCGCTGCCGCCGCCGCCGCCGCCGCTGCTGCTGCTGCTGCTGCTGCTGCTGCTGGGATTTAGCGGGTGAAGAGGTGACAGAAAGTAGGGAGCAAACCCATGAGGAAAGATCGCGATTTTATTCTAACTTCCAAGCCTTTGCTGTTAAGAGCAGGGTTCTTAAATCAACCGGCCCAACACACATGTTGCTGCGCTTTCTCACGGTAAGTAGCCCATAGAAGAGCACAGAAAGGGAAAAATAAACATGGGGAGACATAAAAACTGAAAAAAAACAGAACAGCCCCCAAACACACCCTAGGTCATATTTTATTGATATTTCATTTAAAGTGCTTTTTCTCTTTCTTTGCCTAACTGGGTTACTTTATAACCTAGGGTGCAGAAGCACTTCATTTTAAATCTCAACTTGCTAACCTGACTTCAAAGCTTTAATGATCCATTATTAGCAATGTAAACAGATTTAAGAATGAAATATTGATTTTTCTGACCCTGGATGTGGGGGGAGGGGGGAGTATCCTAGAATGACTGGACCAGACAATTAGAAAGAGTCTTTCCCGAAGTGCATTTTCCAGCTAGTAACCATTATTTTGTTTTATTGTTTTTCTCTATCTTTTAGGTCTGTTTTGCCTGAACCTATCAACAGCTGGGAGATTAATCAACCACTCTGAAAATGTACGGGGGATTTGTGGGGGAGGGGTTGGAATGTAGATGTTTGGAACCAATGTGTATAAATAAATGAATTGTTGATAACTTATTGACCTGGTAGCTTGTTAAAGAAACCCAGAGTTGCTCATTCCTAGAGCTGGGGTTTCAGTAGGCACTTTATTTCTCCACCTTCAAAAGCTTGAGCTTGCCCAACTCTTAGGCTGCCCAATCCTGTTTCTACTACTAATTTAAATTTATGGCTTGAGCCACTACACTGAAAGCCAAATCCATTCCCTTCCAAAAAAGAAAAAGAAAAAAGAAAAGAAAGGAAAAAAAAAAACCCTAAAAACAAAAAGTACTTGTCAGAAGCCCTAGCCATTTTCTGGCTTTATTTGTTGCGGTCTATTGAAGACTTTGAACATGCCACATTAATAAATATATTAAAATTGAAAAAGAAGATAAATTGTGACCAGAATTTTATTTACCAAGTTAGACTAAAAGAAGAAAAAAGAAACCACTATGATCCTTGAGAAAGAGGGGGAGAAAAAAATAAAGCTACTTATAGCAAAGGAGAATTTATTCTACCAAAAATACGCATGACAATGCATCCTAATGTAATACAAAAATAAAAAGAAAGTGATGATACAATTTCTAATCACTTTCTTGCAGGCCTCATATATTGCTTTCAGGAAAACCACACAAATGATTGTTAGGTGAGGTTTAAAACAACTAAAACTCCAATGTAATCTGTAAGAGATGACTCTGAAACTGAATCAGGGAATCACTAAACAAAATGCTCAACATTAAAGAAGTAAGGGGGTAGGTCAAGAAGAAAATAAAATAAAAATCAACTCCCGGAATAAAAGAAGGCAAAACCACCTGGTCAGGGGGTTTTTGTTTTGTGATGCTTTGTTTTTGCTTTAATGTTTTTAGTAATTCAGATGCTGCAAGTCAATTGTGGTGAGTGTGTCTGTAAAAAAGTCAAAGCTGTCAGCTGAAATATCTACAGGACTGTCGAGGGAACCTGGCAAACTGGGTGAGACTGCATCTGAAAGCTGCAGGCAAGAATCTGTGGAGAAAACGTTAAAGTCCTGCAAAGAGGGGACCTCGAGGGCCTCGGGACTGTCATTGTTTAGGCCAGCTCCACAGTTCTGGCCCATTGTTGACAAGCAGTTAGGAACAGTGGGTGACTGGTGCTGAAAATGTTTCAGATTTTTCTCATTGCTGGTTAAAGGCGAAACTGGGAAACTTTGGGAGTCGCCATTGTGTCCATTGGGAGCCTGCTGTTGCGAGAGGGCATTTTGCTGAAAAGTGTAACCTTCCCTCTCCAGAAGGGCCCCGGAGACGCTGAGGGCTTGCTCAAAGAGGGACTTCTCTTCTTCGTCCTCCTCTACTTTCTCTGAGTCCTCAAGGCTTTTAAATTTCCCTTCACTGTTTTGGTTTTCCTTGCACTGGGTCTGTCTCTTGTGCTTCATCCTTCGGTTCTGAAACCACACTTTCACTTGTCTCTCAGTCAAATCCAGCAGCGCGGCAATCTCCACCCTTCGGGGTCTGCAAAGGTACTTGTTGAAATGAAATTCTTTCTCCAGCTCTAAAAGCTGCGTGTTAGTGTAAGCAGTTCTCAGGCGCCGCGATCCCCCGCCGCTGCCATCGGCGATTTCCAGGGATTCTGCGGAAAGGGAAACCAACAAGAGACACACGCACAGTTGGAGGTGGAGGGGTCCAAGAGGGATTATTCCACTGGAGAATAAATATAGCAGAAAAGATCAACTGCAACAAAATGGCCGCCCTGGATGCAGTAGAGCTATTGTGCTGCCTTTCCTGGGAGCTCAGCCCCGGGAAACCCCATCTCCTCCACCTCTATCAAATTCCTGCCTGTAGCTCCCCCCAACCTCTTCATCCGGGAGCAAACTTTATATTAGCCACAACACAATTTATAATTAATGCATCAGCTGCTTAGCTGAGCAAGAGCGATCTATCACTCTTCATTACTGTCAAAAAGCCAAACTCTAGGACAACTAGACAAGAGGAGGTCAGTTCCAACTCAAATAAATCATCCCACATTACACAAGTTAGGGAAAGTTTCCCCCTCCCTCCCTAAAAATATATATGTCTCATTGTGGAGCACAGGATCTCTTCTCCTCTCCATCAAACCCATTCCTGAACCCAAGGGGGCAAGGAAAGGCAACCAGGCATCTGTCCCTCTCCCCATTCGCTGCTATCCCATGCTCCCCTCCCCCATAACCGCTCTCGGGGCAGCCCGGAGGGGGAACAGGGTCCTGGGGACCTGGGGCCAAGTCTTGGGACTGACCTTTGTGGCTGAGGCAGGCAGGGCCAGTGGTGGTGGCGGCAGCGGCGGCAGCCGGCGGCAGCGCGGTTTTCTTGGCCGCCTTCTTCTCCTTCATCCAGGGGTACTCGGGAGGTTGCAAGGCGCCAGCGGGCACCGGGCTGCCGCGACTGCCCGCGGGGCTCGGCTTGGGGCGGCCGCCAGCGCCGTGGCGAGGGTGACTGCCCGGGTTCAGGCTGGGAATGGTCTGCTCAAAAGGAGGAGGAATCAGTGTCGAGTGTGAAAGCGTCGAGGTCTTGATTGATGAACTTTGAAATGTATCAGCGACAGGGGGAAAAGATGTCAGGCACTCAGCGAGCGACGGCTGGCTATTGATAAAACCAATCTCTCGCTCAAATTCGTAATTCATGGCCTTCTCCTTGGAGCCCCCTCGGAGAAAAAGTTCCCTCTTTTGGAGGGGCTTTGGGGGGGCGAGGCCCAGGAAAAAGGCGAGCACGGAGGAAAAAAAAATCTATCATAGAAGATCGCTGCTGGGGTGTTTTTTTTCTAATTCACTGATTACAGCCGTATGGGGACCGCGCTACTATTAAACTATTGAATTCATGGAGACAAGGTTGAAATTGGACCGAATTGGCTGTCACATGATTGCTTCTGCCCAATGACAATTTGGGCTTTAATCAAAAGAAGCCACTGTCTGTTTGATTGATCCAAAAAAGTCGGGAAGGAACGCCTCATTGGGGGCCAGTGAGGCTTTATTTACACTTTTTTCAGGACAAAAATATATATATATGTGGATGTGGGTGGGAATGCCCGAGAGTGAGTGCGGGACGAGGGTGCCTGCCTTACTCCTGCTCAGCAAGGAATCGGTGTGTGCGCCTGGGAGTGTGTCTGAGTGTATGAGTGAGTGCGAGTGTGAGCCTGGCTGCCGGTCCCGCCAGCGGCTGCCCTCTGCCTCCCCCGCACACTCCGCGCATTGTTTGGGACTGTCGGGAAGACGCCTCGCACCTCACAAATCATTTAAGCACCTCAGTCTGACGCCTGCAGTCATTAACAAAGTAATCCATTAATCTTCAAAGTTTTGACACCCGAGGGCCCCCGCATCCCAGCCACATAAGTTCTGCTAAGACCGGAGGAAAGAGCAGAGGGAAAGAAGAGTTGGGAGATGGAGAAGAAAGACAGTGGAAGGGACAGGAAGAGAGGGAGAGAGAGAGAAGGAGAAAGAAAGAAGACAGAAAAGAAAGAAGAAAGATTTGGGGGGCAATCCTTTTATTTCCCTATCCTCTACTTTTCCTAAAAACCAGTTCTTGGATCTCAGAACTGATCTCTCTCTCTCTCTCTCTCTCTCTCTCTCTCCACCCGTTTCCCCTCCCACTCTCTTCTGTCTGTTCGCTGTCTGTTCGCTCCCCCCATCCCATAGTCCCTCGCCCCATTCTCAATGTCCAGCCTGGAATCCGCGCCCCCAGGCCCCATTGTTAGCCGGCTTTTCCACCGCAGCTTTGCATCTGGCTCCAGGGGGAAGCGGAAAACGGGAGGCGGCTCTCGAAGCTTCCCGACCTTCCTGCGCCATCAACTTCTCAGGAGTGGCTGGAGAAAACAGATGCATGTGCCAAGCGAGACAGCAACCCCAGGTCCATGTGTCCAAATCCCCGTAGCCAGGGCGGCGGCCAGCCAAAGAAATGCCGCCCCGAGCTGGCGAGTGCGGCTTCTGGCATTCTGGGTTTCATACCCTTATGGCTCGGGTGCGGTGAGTATTTCCGATTTCCAGGAAGTCTGTTGGAAGTTACCAGAAGCGAGGGAGAAGACGTTTGTTCCTCTCTCTTTCCCCCTACCCTTCTTTCCTTGTCCTTGTCGCTCTGGTTGGGGGCTGGTTGGTTCAGATGTAGGAGTGTTCCTTGGCAGCCTGAATTGCTTCCCACACCTTCCTACTCCTTGGACACCAGGGAGGTTTGCACCCGGGTTCTGTTGTGGGAAAGAGCACTGTGGGAAAGAGCCGGGTGTCCCAAGGAGGGATTATACAGGTTTTCCTTCTCCTTCCTTGTCTCTCTTTTTCAATTCCAGGACTTGAAACTGTGTGTGTCTTGGACAGTGCTGGGGGGTTGAAAAGATAACACCTTTAGGTACCAAATGACAACTTAAAAAAAAAAAAAAAGCCCACCAAGCCAAAAAGAGGGCATGAGGCAGAGATAGAGAGAGAGAGAGAGAGAGAGAGAGAGAGAGAGAGAGAGAGAGAGAAGAGGAGAGGAGAGAGAGGAGAGAGAGAGGTCTGAAGGTACTTCTCCCCACCCCCCCAACCCTGAGGATGGTGATTCGCTTTTGCTTTCTTTGAAATGGACCAAGTGATCAGACTCCCCTAGGCCGGCAGGCATCAGTGGCAGGAAAATAAATCATTCTGATGGCCAAGGAGAGAGAGGTTGGTGGGGGAGAAAAATCTTCGTAGAAAACAAGAAAGGCTGACCAAGGAGCAAGGGCAGAACTCTGTCTCTGAGGCCAGCATCAGAGGGGGTTTGGGTTGGAAATGAGATATTAAAGTGGCCTCCAACCTCAACTAGCCAAGAGGCATTGCATTACAGATAGAGATGCTATTTTGGAAAATGTGAGGTTTTTCAGTTTTCTTGCTTTTATTCCAAACAAAGCTCTGAAGGAAGTCTGGGCACGATCAATCTTGCTCACCAAAAGCCTTGACAGCTTCTGGCCCTTAAGAACACATTTCAGCTTCAAGCTCTTTCCAAGATCAAATGTGGCCGAGCAAAGAGGAGAGCAGGAAACGCAAGTAAACAAGGAAAACTAGTCTTTTAAAGATATTTTTTGGCAGTGGAAGGGTTCTAGGGTTGCTTTTAGGAAAGGTGCTTTGTGGATTTGGTGATGGTGGCTTTTGGCATTTGCTTTTATCAGAAAATTTTGAGGGAAGGGGAGGGGAGATGCATAGAGGAAGCAGCACTGCCTCTATATAGCTGGGCTTTGTCAGGGGCTGCGTGGGTGAGAGCTTTCTGCCTGTTTCAGCCCCCTTAATTCAAATACCATCTGGAAGAAAATGCTTTTCTGAAGCTGCTCAACACTGAAATAGTCCCCAAATCTATTACTTTAACTCAGGATATATTTTAATAAGAATTTCTTTGAATATTTAGAAAGCTGGGGATGAGATCAATATTTTTCTTTGAAAGCCAAAATGAATGCCTTAGAGTGGCAAGATATGGAAAATCATATTAGATTCTCATTTTACAATTTCTGCCCTGAGGGAAGGAAGAAGCTTCTAAAGCATTCCTCCCTCAGCTAGAGTAGATTTTTAGAAATGGTTCAAATGGTGGTAACCCAGAAAGATTTTCATCCTTAGGTGGATATCCATATTCTTCGATTCTCTTTCTCTCCTTCTCCTCCTCTTCCTCTTCCTCCTCCTTCTTCACCTCCTCCATATATACTGCTCCTTATTTTCCCAGGTAACTTACACATGTCTCTAAAATAGTTACTTAAAAAGAAGACTCCTGTATCTGCTCAGCGTGAACAACCAAAAAGTGGAAGCTCCAATCCTCACAAAGGCTGATCTTCCTGCCTCTGCATTTCTGAGGTCTGATCATATTTCCCCAGGGAGGTTGGGGTAGGGGGAGCAAGACCATTTCCCCACAGACCAAACTCTTTGAAAAGAAAACATATATATTAGGAGCTGCAGGACAGATGTGGAGAAAGCACCTCTGGGTGTAAGAAAAACACCCAGCTCTCTGAAGCTGCCTGGCTTTGCAGCCTCTTTTTCTTAAAAGACTTTCTTTTTCTTAAAAGAAGAAAAGGTTACCTAAAAGCAGTTCGTTGGGACCTAACAGGTACCCAGAAATGGCTCCAGTGCCTGCTTCTAAGGATCCTCTGAGGGCACTTCTCGGGAGGATGGATAAAGGCCATGATGATGGATATTTTGGATTGCAAACAAAATGGCGACATTTTTCACTTCTGCCTCTGAGAGATACAATCCAGGGAGGATGGGGCTTATTTCTTACATCAGATGCTTCTGATCCCCAGACGCAGGCGGTTCTTTACTCCCAGTTTTGAGGATGATGATGAGGAGGAGGAATGCAGCTCTGAGGTTTGCATTTTTTGAATTTAGATCCTTCTCTGAGCAATTATTTAATCAGAAGATGGAAATATGTCCTTTTACTGTGCCTGTCTTTGCCTCTTCCAGTCAGTAGGCAGCTCTATCTTAAATGCAGGAGGGGAAATGTAATATTTAGCTCCTGTAGCATCAAATGAAAGAAGTACTTATACAATTGCATTTTTATTAGAAAGATACCAATCTCCTTTCTCTCTCCCCCTCCCCCTGGGGCCATAAAAAGAAAGCTGGGAGGGAAGAAGGAGAGGAAATAAATCCAGAGAATGGCAAATGCTAAATTCCTCTAGGAAACAGATGCTAGCATTCAGGCAGTCCAAGGAAGGGATCAGGGAGATTCTCCTGAGTTTAGCCCTCCTTTTTTTTTTTTCTTCTGGAGGTTTGGGGGAGTTTCAATCCCTTTAGATCTGTTTGGCTCTTCGAGGCGATTTCGGGAGAGATGGTTCTCTTCTGGCGCGATAAACGACTGCGAAGCGTCCGCGAAGGAGACCATAAGTCTGAACGCTCTTGGAAAGAGTTCTGCATCCTCTGCATGGTTGGTGATTCACGGGGTTAAGACGTCGGCCGGTTCGCTTTGACCGGAGCTGAAGAACACGGGACGACCGCCCTGAGTTTTCCCTACGCGCGGCCGCGGGGCACCTGTGCGCCCCCCACCGCGCCTGGGCCCGGCTGCCTTTGTTTCTGACAACCGGTCGTTCCACAGCCCCTGCGCCCTCCGCCTGCCTCCGCGGCAGCTGGGAACCAAGCAGCCCAGCAGGTCCGCCACACAGCCTTTCCAGATCTGCCGCCACCAAGAACCCCGACTGCCTTCCGGAATATTCGCCGAGCTTTTAGGCGAGCCGCCGGCCAGGCCCCAAGCCCAAGGAGCTGGGTAGGCGGTGGCGGCCTACTCCGCCAGCTCGCCTCCGCCTGAAGTCCACGCAGACACCCATCTTCAGCCAAAGAACCCCTTTTGAACACGGATGTTAATCAGAATAAAAACTTTATTATTATTTTTTGTTTTGTTCTCAGAATGTGAGCAGCAAGGAATGTAGAACTCTCAAAACAAATCAGCATTTTTCGCGTTTACAGATTGGTTGTTCAGTTTTGCCGGATGTTACAAACCTAAATCACTGTTTTCAAACGCTGGATCCTCTCTGGTTTTATTGCATCATTACCGTTTTATCAAGGAATTATATTTCCCTTTCAAATAAAAATTTTATAAGTACGCCAATACACCATTGAACAAAAGGCCCAAGAAACCTTCTGAACAATCAGGGTACAGAATTTCTTTAATATAAATACGAACGGATGGGGATAAATAATATTTAAAACTTAGACTATTCAATGCTTGCAAAAAAAATATAAATAAATCTGACTGTTCACCAGCATACACACACGGAAAGACGTACACTTAGTCATCCTTGTACAGGGAGCCCCTGTTTCAAAGCGCCTTTGATTTTTTTTTTCTCGCTCTTTACAAGAAGTGCAATTTAAAAAACTAAAAATAAAATAAAATAAAAAGTAATCGCTCCCCCTCGGGAACCATAAAGTACGAACAAATTCACATTTGAAAACTCGACTAGAAAATTTGTTCATATACCCTGTTTCTGATCAAAGAGTGGAGAAGGTAAAGGGCGCAGGGCCAGTGGCCAAGCGAAGGGCGGGAAGAGATAAATATCGCTACTGATACTGACAGCCATTCCAGCAACCAAAATTGCTACGTCACATAAACAATAAAAATGCATTACCAAAGAAAACAAAACGGGGGGGGGGGGGGGGGGGAAGGGGGAGAGAAGGAGAGAAAAAAGGGGGGGGGGGCAAAAAAATAGAAAAAAAAAAAAGAAAAAAAAAAGGGGGGGGGGGGGGGACTCTCCCGGCACGCAGCCCCAGCCCACCATCACAGGTGGGTGAGCTTGGGAGCTTCCTGAATTCTTCCCTGAGAAGGATGGTGGGCGGTAAGGTCCGTGTAGGTGGGGTGTGGCTCCCCTGGCCCTGGCGCGTGGTGGTGACCGCTGCCCAGCGGCCCAGCAGCCCCATAGTCCATGGCTGCAGAGGTGGCGTGGGGGAGGTGAGTTAGGCCAAAGAGTGCCGGCCCGGAGTTGCTCATGGGTTCCACATAGCTGCCCCCCACGAAGACGGGGCTTCCCTGTAAGTGTGGGGTCCCATAGCTGCCGTTGCCTTGCAGGCCATGAGCATGCGGGTCATAATCAGGAGTGCCCCCTGCGCTTGCCCCTGCCGCTGCATAGCGTTTCTGTGGGGGTGGGGGTGGCGGTGGGGCACAGCTGGGCAAGGGTGCAGGGTAGGAAGCGGGAGGCAGCCCATAGGTGCCTTGTGGGGGCTTGGAGAAGGGTGGGGGTGACTGGGGCTCATATGGGACACTGTTGACCAGCGAATGCATAGAGTTCAGATAGCCACCAGGGCCAGGAGGCACGGGGCTGCGACTTGGAGATTGGCCCCCCGATGATGTTAGCATGCCCTTGCCCTTCTGATCCTTCTTGTATTTCATGCGGCGGTTCTGGAACCAGATCTTGATCTGGCGTTCTGTGAGGTTCAGGAGGTTGGCCATCTCCACCCGGCGCGGCCGGCACAGGTAACGGTTGAAGTGGAACTCCTTTTCCAGTTCCACCAGCTGCGCACTCGTATAGGCTGTTCGTGCGCGTTTGGATGAAGCCTGCCCAGGCGGGCTCTTGTCACCAGCGCAGCTCTCTCCTGCCAGGACAGAGAGAGGAAGAGCACGTCAGGGGCTGCATATGGCCCCGCCCAGCTCCTGAACCAGCCTGGCCTCTCTTTCTCCAGGACCCAAAGATCCCTCCATCTGTTAGGGCCCCAAGAGGAATAGGATTTAGGTGCTGTCCTCTCTCCTGGTGGGGGAAACAGTGTAGGTGGTTAGTCCCTCTTTCAGCTTGTTTCAGGGAACAAATTATAGGCTTCTTCAAAGAGGGATGTGGACAGAAATCTCCACTGAGGTGAAGAGAAATCTCCACTAGCCTTCCTGGTCTGTATTTCCTTCCTGGCACTGACACATTTACTGGTCCTCTAGGCCCATCAGACAAGATTTCCTGTGGGCAGGTCTCACCATCATCATTCTTTTCCAGTATCCAGTAACTTTGGGACACCTAATGTATACTTCCAAACCTTCTTTTCCTCCTTAGCTGACTGAATGATGAGGCAGCAGATTCAACTGGCCAATTCTCCAACTATCCAGAGATGGGCAGAGTGAAAATCCCAAACTGAAAGGCTTCTGCCCAGAAGAGATCTCCTTGATGCTATCCATTTCTGGTGGGGAGGCTCAGGTCCCTCATGATGACCTATCCATTAGAGCTCCCCATGTCATTAAGCAGCCTACTAGAGCTTTGTCCACAAGTGTTATGCCCTCCTGTCCTCCTTGGCCCCCAAATCCTGGCTCTGGAGGCCCCAGATGCTCAGGCTTGGAGCAGAGCACTGGCAACTAGAGAGGGCAGGGGCAAAGGTAGCCAAGATGCTAGGAAGCCCAAGGCCTGGGGCCTTTCCTCCATTGGCCTCCAGTTCCAGGAGGCCCATGTGGTTCCCATTAAGATGACAAGCTGAATCCCCTCCCCCAGGAAATCCCTGGCTGCCTTCATTGTAACTAAGTCTGAGCAAAGCCTTCCCAGAGGTGAGGTAGCCACTCCATCTGCTGGAGCAAAAATGGCTCTGATCATAGACAAAGCATTGAATCTGACTTGGAGGGTGACTAGGCCTGCTTTTATTCTGCCACATTTCAATATGGGGAGGATGTCACTGTTTCATTAGAATACAGGAGCTGTGCTAAAAGAGAAACCGTGAAGCTGAGGATGGTTCTGCCTAGAGATCAGAACTCCAAAAATGAAATGGAGGGATTCCAACTTCATTAGTCTCCACTTGCTCTTGGGGAGGTCCAGAGAGACTCCCATCAGGTCTGTGTCTGGGGGTTCCTGGTACACAGAGGCCTTATCACCTCCTTAAATTGCCAAGATTCTGGAAAACTTTGAGGTGGGAAGGAAGGAGAGTGGGAGCAGTGGATTTCTGGAAATGTTCTACACTCTGCTGGCTGTGGCTGGAAGTGGCTTAGAGCCTCCTCCAGAAAGCACCCCTTTACCTGAGCTGGAGCCGCTGGTTTTCTGCTTTGTGTTTTGCCTCGACTCTTTCATCCAAGGGAAGATTTGTTTGGCCACGGTGGGCGAGTTGAGCAGGGGGCTCTTGGCTGCGCTGGCAGGGGTGGGGTTGCCGTTGGCATTCTGAGGAGGGGAGACAGAAGAAGGGGGCGGGGGAGCCGCAGGGGTGGGTGCAGGGGGCTGCGGTGGGGGCTGGGGAGGCTGTGGGGCAGGGGGTGCAACCTGGGGTGGTGGTGGGGGCAGAGCCGGGTCACCCAGGCCTGGGGGCTGGCTGGACTGGCCGCTCAAGGTGCGCAGGCACGCTTCGCTCAGTTCATGCGCCTTTGGATGGCCCCCTGCGCTGGCGCTGGCGGGAGACTGGAGTGAGCAAGCAGGTCTGTGATACTCGCCATCAGAGCCCAGAGCGGCGGATGCCGCATATGGCTGCTGACTGGCATTATAAGCAAACCCATTGGCTGCCTGGTAGGGGTAGCCACCGTAGATCGCCGAGCTGTCGTAGTAGGTCGCTTTTTGCATCGCGTTGTCTCACAATCTTGATCGCACACTCTGACAGGGGCTTGACACCCGTAAGGGCGCACATTGGCACGCCCCCGAGGTCACGTGACGCTCCGCCGCCAATGGCCGCTTGCCGCAGACCTGGGAGGGGGGCGAGAAGCGCAGCGCGGTGAGGGCTCCGCGCAAATCCATCTTACTCTCAATAGCTAAGTGACATGAAAGCCATAAAAGAAAAAGTGGTCAGCAATATTTAGCAGCACGACTTGGCCCCGGGCGCAGGGAGCCGCACTATAAAAAGCCGCTGGAATTTACTGGCAGCTACAAATATTTGCTTAACTTGCGTCTGGAGTTGGGGGATTTTCCGGGGAGAGAAAGGAGAATGACTGAGGCTGGAAGCTGAGTCTCTGGAGCCGAGGTCCAAAACAAGAAAGGCCTGGTAGGCTGGAAAGAACAAGACTGTAATCTTTCTTTTGGATGGGGGGAAAGAAACGTGGGTGCCCCTTCATCTCTGTCCCTTTACTATCATCCAGAGGCCCCAAGCCTCTCCCCTTGTCTGGATCTTGGAGAACCAGCCAGAAGGCAAGGGGGAGCTTGGGGGTCTTCCCGCTTTTTCCTGGAATCCCCACTTTAGTACTGACACTTGCCAAAAAGAGCCATAAGATGTGGTTATTCCTCATCCAGCCCCTGCTTGGATCTTCCTGTCCTCAAGAGAGGTTTCTGCGCGCGCGCGCGCACACACACACACACACACACACACACACACACACACACACACAGTAAGCAATTGCCTTATCTGACCAGGCTGGATTTCAGAAACTGAGCTTTTTAGGCAGTTAATCTACCTTTGTTCAGGGATAGGACCCACCTCCTCTAAATGAGCTCCTGTGGCTAAGAAGCCCAGAGATAAAAGTTTGGGTGGAACACAGGTCTGTGTGTATGTTAGGAAGGGACCAACAACATCATCCTATCCAGCAAGTCACAACTCAAATCATGGACAGTTCTTTACTCTTTTCCTCTGCTACTTCTCAGGCACTTTGCAGCAAGTCACCCCCACCTCCTTTCCCCAGTTACAAGTTCCCAGATCCCCCTGTCTTGGATTTTCTGAGGTGCTGTTATTCAGAGCAATGATCAAATTCTACCTGTTAAAACATGATGGATTAGAGAAAAAAACAGCCCACCAGGAACCTGAAAAACCAGCGTTCATCTCCATGACCACGGCTTGAACTCTCTTTCCAACTTAACGATAATAGGTTCTGTCTTAGAAACTGCTATGTAATTTGATGTATGGGGGTCATTTGGCTCTGGAAGAGGCATGGAAGCACAAGCCATAAAATCCTGCCAGAGTTCCCTGATCTTTGTGTGCTGCTGCTGTTGATATTTGTTACTTGGTCTATTTACCTGCTTCAGAAACACCAAGTAAAGGATAACACTAAAGTCTGGGAATGTAGCTCAGTGGTAGAGCACTTGCCTATCTTGCAAGAGTCCCTGATCTCCAACACCACCAGGAAAGAAAAGAAAAGAAAAGGTGAGGAGTAACAACAATCTGAAAAGCAAGTGAAAACCTTAACCCTTTTTAATTTAGTTTGCAGAAATGAAATCGACATTTACTCTTTGTTTTCAACCTTTACATGCTTAACCTCTAGCTCTCACAAGAAAAGTTCCATATGAGTTGCATATATTCACACACATCACACATTCAAAATGTAAGTCCCTCTATTAACATTGTAATGATAATTCTTTAAGAAAATGGTATACACTTCATGCCCCAACTATGTATATTAAATCCCAGAATTATTCAAGTTTTCCAGGGATAGCAGATGTTAACTAGAAAAAATAATTTAATAAGCATCTACCAGTGGATGATTATAATTTTGTTTTTAATAATGGACTCCTTTAGATTTCATTATTAAACCAACAATCTGACCAACATCTGGAAAACAGGCACAATTAATTTTCCAGAACCTCAATTAAAAATTAAAGCATCACTTATCCGGAGTTACTGTGCATAATCATGAGCCCTGGAGTACTGTTACTCTTTTGGAAATAGATAAGCAGGTACAGATACCATGGTGGAAAGCAAATAAAGGATAAAGTAAAATTTAAAACTGAATAGCAATTTACTGTCTTGGTTTCTTGTTCTTTCGCTGAAAACAGTTCCTATTACATTTGACAGTGTTAATGTCTGGCATTATAAAATTTTTTAGATACCAGACTTGTGTAAAAACGTCAGGTCAAGAAATTATTCTAGACACTTGAACAGCAAGATATTAGATAAAACAAAATTAAGTTAATTTTGAACATGCAATGTTTCTAGTGACTTGCTAATCCATTATCAGGGGCCTGCAGCTTACTTAAGCCTTTTCTTCAAGTTGTGCATTGTCTTGTAAAATAACGAAAATACCTTTTAAAAAAATCAAAGAGCATATGACAGCCCCCATAAACTTAAAATATACATTCAACACCAAGATCCCACCAAAGTCCTTCCTATTGTTTGAGGTCTGCAATCACCTTGGACCTCACACAATTCTCCCACAACTCAGCCCCCAAAGTTTCCAACCTAGTAAAGAAGTTGGAGATTTGCCAGCCAGGAAACTTTGCTTTGTACCCCCCAAGCAAGGATTGGGAGTTAAGGGAGTTTCCTCTGCAAAGATCTGTTTCTGGACAATAACCCCTAGGTGCAGGAGCTGAAGGAGGCTAAATCCAGTGCAGGCAACAAGAGCTATTGTCTCTCTGCAAGGTATGCCCCAATTCGACCTCCTTCCTCAAGATACTGCCCCCTTTTCCACTCCAGTCCCTTTCTTAGTCTGCTTTCACCCCGAGTTTGAACAAGATCGTCGAGAAAGAGCCCCTGCATCCCTTGCCCCCTAGCTCCTTTCCCGACTCAGAAAAGTTGAGGCCGAGATGAGGGGAGAGGGGTGAGTGGGGGCGGGGATGGGAAAGCGGCCTGAACTCAAAGTGTAAGGGTATCAGTCACTGCCGGGAAGGAAGCTCCGGCTTGTGAACTCTTCTTGAACCGAGATTTAAGTCTGCAGCTATAAATCACCGAGACGTAAACTCCGCCATTCAGCGCTCAGAGCGGCCGGTTGTGCCCCTGCTTACCTTAACTTCTGAAGAGCGCCGCGAGCGCAGGCTCGGGCTCCAGCCCCCAGCCCGGCTCCGCTGCCCCGCCGGGTCCCCTCGCGCGGGATGGGCACCGACCCTCAGCATCAGCCGAGACGGCGGGCTGGCTGGAGACCCCAAGGCCCGGACGCCGCCGCACACAGCGTGGTCGCCTTGCTGCTCCGGCACGGCTCGCCCAGGGCGGACTGGGGCGGCTTGGACCCCCCTCCCACCCACCCCACCCGCCCACCCCTCCCCCACAACACCCGCCCCCTGCCCTTTCTGAGGGCAGCAGCCGCGGCCAGGAGATAAGCGCTAGCGCAGCGCCGGGCTCTGCCTGGGCTAGTGGCACCGACTTGGGTATGTTTCTTATGAATATTACACGCGGAGCAACGTCTGGTCGGGGGTGCGGTGGGGGTGCTGGGGGCGGGCGGGAGGGAAGACCAAGGCGGCAGGGGAAGCGCGGGGCCGGCGTGGGGGATGGGGCTGAGGCGAGGGGAGGGATAGGAGCGAGAGGGAGCTCGGCGGCGGGAGGAGGGCAGCCTCCCCCCACCCCTCCCTCTCCTCGCTCCTAGGCGTCACTAAAGTCTAGGAAAATTATGCTAATGAGGACGAACGGCTCTCACAAAGGGGCTCTCTTGCTGGGCTCTATTTCTTAGGAATCCGTTTGAGAAACCACACAACCCTCTCCCCTAGTCATTTCCAGTTAGGGGTGAGGGTAAAGGTAAAGAGAGAACCAGAAATGAGTTCCCCCAAGAGTTTGGGAGTTTACTTCACCTGCCACTCCTGATCCAGGCACCCCAAAGCCAATCTTCAGGGTGCTGGGATAGGGCCTTTCTCCAGAGACCTTCTCAAGAGCCAACTGGTCTCTTTGGTGATATTTTTAAGCAGAAACTCTTGGCATTTTGGTAGGCAGGAGGGAAGTGTCCTGGGGGAGAGGCACATTTGACCCGGGGTGAAATGAGTGTCTGGGCTCAAGCACAAACAAGGGTGCCTAGCAGCTCTCCAGTGCCCACTGAATAGTACAGACACGAAGCTCACCTACAGGGAAGACAGATAAAACTCTGACCCCAGCACAAATGGACATGCATGATATGTCTCTCCCCAAAACCCGTGTTAGTAAAGTGGTCTTCCTTTACTGAACTGAGAGCTGAGAAAAGGCACGAGTTTGCCTGGTAATATTGTCATAACTTTAAAAAAGATGATATTCCTCCCAAGTCTTCCCTGAGCTCTATAGGTTCAGAAGCAAACTCTGCAACATGTATGAGTGTGGCAAAAGAGAGAAATGGAGCTTTCCTGCAATTCCAAGGCGTCAATGGCCGGGTCCTTCTCAAAGGAAGGTGTTAAAAATATAAGTAGTATGTTTAAACTGTCAGGGAGCCAAAGTGTCACCTTAGAGCAAAAACAAAGCCAGGGGAAAGGGAGAAATCAAAAAGCACTCTGGGCCAGGGTGGCCTCATGCATACCAATGGTTTTTGTCATTTATGGCCAGGCAAGATTTATGACTCGGCGCCCCAAAGCTGTAAACAGAGCACAAAACAGCAAACACTTGCTCCTTATGGCATATTGCAGCGGCACAACTTGAAAGCTGGAGCTAGCCGCGTAGGAGGTGAGAGTCAGCCGCAAAAATCCGCTCCGCGGCATTTTCTCTTCAAACCCGCCGAGTCGGATAGGGCATTTGAAGAAAGAAGGCGTGGGTCAATAATCAACCCGCACTTTCTCCTCCAAACTGCTGACGCGACTCTCACCGCCCTCTCAGCTAAGCCAGCTGCAGAGAAGGCCGGCTCTCTGTGAGAACCTGCCCCGGGAGGGGACGGGATGGGCCGAGAGGGCCGAGGGGACTGAGGGCGCCCAAGCAGAGGCTGGGGCTCCTAGAGCCCATACCTTCTCAGGACGCCAAGACCAAGCCGGGCAAACCACGGAGACTGGACCTGAGGAAAGGCAGGAGCCCGGGAGATCTGGGGTGGGAACTCAGCTCGGATCAGGGCCTCCACCCGCCCTTGACTAGGTGGCTTCTGAGTCACAGGCCCGGCAGGCAGAAG